ACAGACCATGGGGTTGTAGATCTGTATATATGACATAATACACATATAAACAGACCATGGGGTTGTAGATCTGTATATATGACATAATACACATATAAACAGACCATGGGGTTGGAGATCTGTTTATACAGGCTCATTAAACATTACCTGTTTATACATGCTGCTGAGTTGTTCCACCGTGAACATTTCCACTGTAGCCAGCTCCACAGGAGGGGGCGGTGTTTGAGGTAAGGGTGACTTCAGAACCTTCAGACCCTCATTGAGGAGGAAATCTTCCTGGTTTAGGACCAGCTCCTGCTTCAGTTTCTGTTTGTTTTCAATGGCATTCCTCATCACCTCAGACATCTGGTCAATACTGAAAAACAAATAGTTAAAAGTCAAGTCTTTTCTCGTTATATGTGGCCTGTTAAGAGCTGTTACCTGTTATTAACGCTGGGTAGACTAGAAATAAAACTTCAAGAGTGTGTAAAGAAAAGAAAATTCTGTTGTTATTCTCAATTTAGAAATCAACTTTTCTTTAACATGTGTGTGTACATCAAAAATTAATCAAGTAAGGCCAGGATGGATGATATTTCAAAAGGATTCCCAAAAACAGCATCAAGTTAATCTACACTACCTTGAATATCAAGATTACATTACTAAAATGATGAGGACAGATGGTGGACAATACTGATGAGAGACGTCCTTGTATGTCAAACAATCAGAGGTGTTGTACGTCCTTGTACGTCAAACAATCAAGAGGTGTCGTACATCAAACAATCAAGAGGTGTCGTACATCAAACAATCAGAGGTGTTGTACGTCAAACAGTCAGAGGTGTCGTACGTCAAACAATCAGAGTTGTTGTATGTCAAACAATCAGATGTGTTGTACGTCAAATAATCAGAGGTGTCGTACGTCAAACAATCAGAGGTGTTGTATGTCAAATAATCAGAGTTGTTGTACGTCAAACAATCAGAGGTGTTGTACGTCAAACAATCAGAGGTGTTGTACATCAAACAATGAGAGGTGTTGTATGTCAAACAATCAGAGGTGTTGTAGGTAAGACATTCAGAGGTGTCGTACGTCAAACAATCAGAGGTGTTGTACATCAAACAATCAGATGTGTTGTACGCCAAACAATCAGAGGTGTTGTACATCAAACAATGAGAGGTGTTGTATGTCAAAACAATGAGAGGTGTTGTATGTCAAATAATCAGAGTTGTTGTATGTCAAACAATCAGAGGTGTTGTACGTCAAACAATCAGAGGTGTTGTATGTCAAACAGTCAGAGGTGTTGTACGTTAAACAATCAGAGGTGTTGTAGGTAAGACATTCAGAGGTGTTGTACATCAAACAATCAGAGGTGTTGTATGTCAAACAATCAGAGGTGTTGTACGTCAAACAATCAGAGGTGTCGTACGTCAAACAATCAGAGGTGTTGTACGTCCTTGTACGTCAAACAATCAAGAGGTGTCGTACATCAAACAATCAGATGTGTTGTACCTTCTTGTACGTTAAACAATCAGAGGTGTTGTACGTCAAACAGTCAGAGGTGTCGTACGTCAAACAATCAGAGTTGTTGTATGTCAAACAATCAGATGTGTTGTACGTCAAATAATCAGAGGTGTNAAACAATCAGAGGTGTTGTACGTCAAACAATCAGAGGTGTTGTATGTCAAATAATCAGATGTGTTGTACGTCAAACAATCAGAGGTGTCGTACGTCAAACAATCAGAGGTGTTGTACGTCAAACAATCAGAGGTGTTGTATGTCAAACAATCAGATGTGTTGTACGTCAAACAATCAGAGGTGTTGTACGTCAAACAATCAGAGGTGTTGTACGTCAAACAATCAGAGGTGTTGTATGTCAAACAATCAGAGGTGTTGTACGTCAAACAATCAGAGGTGTTGTACATCAAACAATCAGAGGTGTTGTATGTCAAACAATCAGAGGTGTTGTACGTCAAACAATCAGAGGTGTTGTACGTCAAACAATCAGAGGTGTTGTACGTCAAACAATCAGAGGTGTTGTACGTCAAACAATCAGAGGTGTTGTACGTCAAACAATCAGAGGTGTTGTACGTCAAACAATCAGAGGTGTTGTACGTCAAACAATCAGAGGTGTTGTACGTCAAACAATCAGAGGTGTTGTACATCAAACAATCAGAGGTGTTGTATGTCAAACAATCAGAGGTGTTGTACGTCAAACAATCAGAGGTGTTGTACGTCAAACAATCAGAGGTGTTGTATGTCAAACAATCAGAGGTGTTGTACGTCAAACAATCAGAGGTGTTGTACGTCAAACAATCAGAGGTGTTGTACGTCAAACAATCAGAGGTGTTGTACGTCAAACAATCAGAGGTGTTGTACGTCAAACAATCAGAGGTGTTGTACGTCAAACAATCAGAGGTGTTGTACGTCAAACAATCAGAGGTGTTGTACGTCAAACAATCAGAGGTGTTGTACGTCAAACAATCAGAGGTGTTGTACGTCAAACCATCAGAGGTGTTGTACGTCAAACAATCAGAGGTGTTGTACGTCAAACCATCAGATGTGTTGTACGCCAAACAATGAGAGGTGTTGTACATCAAACAATGAGAGGTGTTGTATGTCAAACAATCAGAGGTGTTGCAGGTAAGACATTCAGAGGTGTTGTACGTCAAACAATCAGAGGTGTTGTACGTCAAACAATCAGAGGTGTTGTACGTCAAACAATCAGAGGTGTCGTACGTCAAACAATCAGAGGTGTTGTACGTCAAACCATCAGATGTGTTGTACGCCAAACAATGAGAGGTGTTGTACATCAAACAATGAGAGGTGTTGTATGTCAAAACAATGAGAGGTGTTGTATGTCAAATAATCAGATGTGTTGTATGTCAAACAATCAGAGGTGTTGTACGTCAAACAATCAGAGGTGTTGTAAGCCAAACAATCAGAGGTGTTGTACATCAAACAATCAGAGGTGTTGTATGTCAAAACAATGAGAGGTGTTGTACGTCAAACAATCAGAGGTGTTGTACGTCAAACAATCAGAAATATTTTACGACTAACCTCTCCATCTCTTTGAGGAACCTGGCACCGAGCCAGTCATTCATATCCTTGTAGGTGTTGTCAGCCTTACTCTTCAGGTCCTGTAGCACTCCAACAGCATGTGCTTTGATCAGATCCAGACGTGTCTTACATGCTTGCTCTGTATAAACAAATCAGCCCTGTATATTACTCATTTCAATGAAAACTGCCTACTGTTCAGACATATTTCTGAGAGGGATAAGCATGTATATTTGGTTACCATTTCTTAATTCCAAACAACACTGGAGAATATGTCATTTGGATCACGATCTCCAAAGGTACTCAGCACATTGAATTTTTTTTTTAGAATTTTCTATTTCTCTTTGTAACATCAAAGGGAGAGAAAGTTCATTCAAGTGTATGTATATTTGACAAAGAAATTGAACCTACCCTCCTCCTGGATGGCAAAGAAGTATTCTTCCCTCATCTTCTCTCTTGTTTCCTTCTTCTGTTTGTCTTCTTCACTCAGGTCCTCCGCTTCAAAACACAGCGACATACCATGACAGAGAAAGTATAACACACAGAGGCTCATTAAAAATATAACAATGAAGTGCTAAAAATAAAATAAATAACGAGTTATTGAGAGAAAGGATCAATCGCACAGCCAAATACATATAGACAGGATCAGAAAGCCACATATACTGTAATACCAACAGATTCATTTTTTCATTCAATTTTTTAGGCATGTAAGTACACAATTCCTAATCATGCAACATTCACTTTGGTCTGAATTTACTCCATGAACATTAGCAAATATACAATAATGAAAATTCTATTGATGTGATATATCCCTCAATTATCGGACTTACAAGGAGTTGGAGTTGCCTGTGAATCTGTGTCCTTCTTTTTCTTGGGTGAGGGGCTGCGACTCTTGCCCTTCTTTCCCTTATCCTTGGTGCCCTTGGCCTTTGTTGCAGCAGCTGCAGCCGCTTGTTTCTCTCGTTCCCTCTCTTCATCTTTCTTCTTCTCAGCCTCTTCCTGAGCCTCTTTAGCAGCATACTCAGATTGAAGCTGGAAAAATAGAAAAATATCATCAATGTTTATTATAATACCCCGTCTTCTGTATAATAACACATCTATTGCCTTTATATGAGAAAAGCATATACATGTATCATGTTGCCCTCAGGCTTTTCCCTCAGGAAACAACCTGATTCATTTCTTATAAAGAAATGTTATTCTCTCATTTCTGTATGTGTAAGATAGAGCTGTCTAGGGTAAGTAAGGAGTGTAAGAAATTTCTATCTTACACCCCATTTCTCGTGACGTGACGTCACAATGGCTCAACAAGGACATAACGTCACGAATTTGGAAAAGTGATGCTGCAATGCGAAAAAACGACTTTACAATATATTTACTGTACATATTGGAAAGATGATATTATTTTTTCTGCACAAACTCTGTTTGCAAATATGGGGTATGCTAAATGTTGCTGACGGATTCATTTTTGTCAAAAAGTTCAGGGGAGAATTGATATTATCAAAATAGTAGCCAGTCCAAACTTATTTTCATGGTTTCTGAGCTTATTCTGGTAGTTGGAATGGAATAAAAATACTTTTTCATGCCTAAGGGTGTAGTATAGGGAAATTCCACTCTCTGGATTTCCCTATCTTACACCTCTGGGCATGAAAGAGTCTTAAAATGTTTCGCTCAAACAATGGCAATAGGTGAATAAAACCTCTGTTTAATGTAAATCTAACATTAGAGTCATGTGGGAACTTATAACTACATTGTATCAAAAATTGTGGTTATTTTATGTTTCTTTCTATCACAATTTAAATGCATTGCACCATTACTGTCAAAATCAAATGTAGTTTGCTTTTTGAAAGGAACAATTAACACATATTTCAAAAGTTAAATGCCAATGTTCATGAACTGAAGATTTTCCATAAAAACTAGAAAATTAAAAAGAATATGTTCAATTTTTTTTATAAACTAATTTTCTCAGTTGTTTGCCAAATAAAACAGATATATTCTACATCTGCGGCATTTATTACCAACACTTACAATCTGACCCAAGGCTGATGTGCCTGTCTGGAAGGCATCAAAGATGAGTTTCTCATCAGGATCCATGGGAGGCGCAGGACTCTCAGATCCACTCGTCTCATCCTTCTTTCCCCCCTTCTTGTCTTTCTTGTCCTTACCGGAGGCACCCCCAGCCTTGGCATCAGCATCAGGTGATACTGGTCGTCGAGGTACCAATGGGATCCTGCAGCGACATACCAACATGGTCTTTATTAATAATTATGATTATTCAAGGTTCTTATATACTGTACCAATAGCCAATATCTTTCTCAACTCCCTGGAGAGCATTCAGCCAGTGCTGCCATTTAGGCGCTAACATTCAACAATTTTAACACTGCCCAACCACAAACTCATTTACAGCTGAGTAGACTGGAACAAGCAAAGTAAAGTATCTTGTTCAAAGATGCAACACAGTTCCGTGACTCAAACCCACAACCCTTCGGTCACGAGCCCCACGCCCTACCACTAGACTACTGTGCCTCCAATTGGTTTCGATTTGCTAATATGTTACAAAATACCAGATTATATTTCTATTATTATTATTCTTTTCAAAGAAAGTGGATATTCATCATAAAGAAGCAACAATATACGTTGTATAAACAGTTTATATGGGGCTCTACCTTTTGCGCCCAGTCTCCTCCGTAGGTGACGGCTCAGCAGACTCTGTTTTCTTCTCCTTGCTCTTGTCACGTTTCTTGCCAGAAGGTGTCCTTGATTTCCGTTCCTTTGGTGACTTGGATCGACTTGAACGAGGTCGATCACCAGATTTGGGTGTACGTGGTGGTTCCTCTGTGGCTGGAGGGCTGGGGGCTGTCTCACTGGCAGACTTTTCTGGGGAGTCTGGACGGTCTGTTGGCAACTGTGTACGCAAAAGCTTGCATATTAGTACACACATGTATATAGCTGTCCTACCTGAGTCATCCAATTGATTTACCAGACATCTAACGGTTTGCAGCAGCATTTTGATGTTACTGATATGAATCTTGATTAAGGTCAAGGCTTTCAGCAGACCCTTGAGTGTATGTTATTGACTCACAAAAATGAGATTTGACTCTTACGTTATTTGACTCTTCAGATTTCATGGAAATGGTAATTTGACTTCTGAAACAGCTAAATGTAAAAGGTCAACTGAAAGCCTTGAAGATACAAAAATTTACACAATTTTCCCCTTAAATTTGATCAGGCACAACATTGATTACTCTGACACTGACCTCAATAAGGGGTATCCTGCTGAAGTTGGTGCTGAGTTCATCAGGCATGGTTCCTTCCATACCACGGTAGTAATCCTTCATCACTCGGACAGTGTCCTGGTACCGGTCAACTTCTCCCTGCATCTGAGTGATATAGTAGTTACTCAGCACACCCAGACGGTCGTCAAGCCAACCGTCACCAATGATGTTCTCTCGTTCTGTCTCTGACTGTGCCTTACGGGCATCACAGATAGACCAGAGGTCCTCGCGCAGGTCGTCTACACGCTGGTGTAGCTCTGTCTTCGTCTCCTCGTCGTCTCTCATGTCGTCCGGCACCTCATTATACTCCTGTGGACACATGATATAGAGTGTAATTATGGCTTCCCGTTTTACATCACTTTGAATATTTAGTTTCATTTGGGGGGGGGAGGGGGGGGGGAATAATTAGAATTACATAACTATTTTTTATACCTTTAAACAGAAGGCAAAAATTTAGTTCTCAATGTTAATAAGAGTCTCCTCGAATTCAGGCGGTGGCCAGTACTTGAAGAGACTCACTTATTTACCATAGTATACTCATTTTCTTGATAACACATCATGACCAATAACATAGGCAGTATGATAAACCTAAGTCCATGTGATATGTATAAATCAAACAATACTAAAATATGTGGAGCATTTTTTACTTTTCACAGCAAATGAATGAATTATTTTCCTTGTTTATGCTTGAAGTTTCACTCTTGTAGCGACTGAATTTGGGATAAATTTTCTCCATAATTAATCTCCAGACCTCCATGTATTAAATAAAATATGTTAGTGATATTTTCGTTTTCAAACTGACCTTCTGCCACTGAGCCTCGTAGACCTGTTTGTTGTCAGGTCTCCGCAGGAAGGCCAGGAAATCTTTCCTGCAACACAAAGCATGTTTAACCCTGATTGGTCAACAATACAAGTAACAGCTCAAAGCTTTAGCTGGTTTAAAGTGTAGCGTTTTTTGAAAATGGAAGATTGCATTATACTTCATGATAAAGTCATAAAGTAGCCTTCAATAGGACACCATATGTTAGCTCAAAACAAGCTTAAGATACACATAGTGCTATGGAAAGGATGGATTAATTTGCTATTACCAGTAATTTCACAGGATATATTTTTGCAGAAGTGTTACCACAAAAGTCGTGAAAATTAGAACCCCACACAAAAAAACTTCAACAGTATTATAAAACCAATTTTATTTCATTACTGAAATTTCTAAACCAATATGGCAGCCAAGCATTTTCATTTTGAAGAACACTTTCCCATGATGCTTTGGAGTTTTTGAAATTGTTTGTTATGGTACATATGGTCAAGGTTAGGAGGTCAAGTTATTTCAGATTATGTAATTATCATTCTAAAAAAGGACATTCCTACTACACAAGCAATTTGTCCACAACTTCATGTGAACCGCAAAAATTGAATTTCATATGTACAAATGGACAAACTAATACTTCTACTATTAGTACTCCCATTTCTATACATACCTAATTTGATAGAAATATCTATAAATATTTTCTCGCTCCTCCCTCTCCTTGCGGAATACATGTTTTGAGTTTTTGACATAGGTCTGTTCTGTAGACTCCCAGTAGTCGGCAAGGATAGTAGCAATCTCCTACGGGAGACAAACGCATCAACCACGTCACATACAGTGAAAGAGGACATAACATTATCAGATATTCGTTGTTGATTGGACAGGTGCAGTCTGAGGAGACATGCCTGATCTGGCAATAGTGCCAGACATTATCACTTTTTTATCCAGTGTGCACAGCTTATAAATTTTCATTTTTTTTTTTTTTTATGGTAAGGGATCTCATACAAACATTTTTGTTTATAGTCTAATATCATTGCTATTATGATAACTATTTTATGCAATATTTGCAGTAATTAAATGACCATAAATTTGTCCAATCTTTCCATTACTATTATAATCAAATTAACCAGTGTTAACACCATGTACAACATAGTGAAAGCCTCAGTGAACTCACATCTGCCAGTTTGAGGCCGACGAACTCCCACTCCTCTGAACCCGGTTCTGGGGGTGGAGGTCCCTTGGGCTCTTCTGGTTCTGGTTCAGGCTCAGGCTCAGGAGTCTTGCCCTTCTTTCCGGATTTTGTCCTAGATTTAGGTGAAGATCCTAAAAAAGATAAATACAATTCATGTCATTGTTTAGTTCAGACCAACCTTAATTCAAGCTTAACAATCCTTCAATACATTCTCAGCTCACTTTGATATTAGCTTACATTTAAACATTCACTATGTAGAAAACCTAATACACTTTGATTTCAATTTTAAATTACTATTGCTATACTATGTAAATCAAACTACCAAAACATGAAGGTTAAGAGTTTGTAATGAGACTTGTTAAGTTAGTTGGAGAGCTTACCCCTGCTGCCTTTCTTGGCACTTCCAGTATCTGATTTCTTGCCACTTCCTCGTTTTGGAGAGGCACTTTTTTTGTCCTTGGGTGATTTGCTCCTTGATTCCTTTGATGAAGGTCGCGACCCAGATTTCTTCCCTGATCCTATAAACCAGGGAAATAGAAGTATTTACAAGATGTGTAATTGATAAGGTGGTAACCACTGTTTAATGAGATGAAGATTGTTTACATTAATAATTAGATTCCCATTACCTTTTCTAGAGGACGGTCTCACATCCTCTTTTACTTCCTCCTTTGGAGGTTCTGGTGGCGGCGGTGGCTGAAAAACAAAGTAAACGCAAACATAAATTCACAGATTTCAAAAACATTCAGCAAAATCTATAACAACATTATTACAAACACGTTATGGAAAAGACATTTTCTCAAAATACCTATGTTGCCAGGTGGAATGACTTAATTATTACCGGAATATCTCAAGAATGTTGGATAAGGGTAATATCATTAATGACCATAGTTCCCTTTATTTAATCACTCTTAAATCAGTACTAAATGTAGTTCCACTGTTACATAAAGGTTTAGTCTCCTGCTAAATCAGTAGTAAATGTAGTTCCACTGTTACATAAAGGTTTAGGCTCCTGCTAAATCAGTACTAAATGTAGTTCAACTGTTACATAAAGGTTTAGTCTCCTGCTAAATCAGTACTGAATGTAGTTCCACTGTTACATAAAGGTTTAGTCTCCTGCTAAATCATCACTCCTTTACTAGCTTACTTCCAATATTTTGATAATAAATTATTGATATGAATTAACACTGAGATTTGATATTTATGATTTTACCCCAGGAACTTATATTATCTACCCACCGGTTCCTCTTTCACTACGACAGGCTCCGTAATCTCAGCAGGTGCTGCAGAGCTCTCCGGTTCCTTTATGCCTTGTAGCTTAAAGTGAAAAACAGGGACATAATTATAATGTATATAGGATGGTAGTTTAAATGTATAAAACTTTGTAAGGAACAGGTAATAAATTCCATGATGCCAGAGATAAATCAGTACCTACCCTGTTCATCGTATCCTCGAGGACCTTCTCTACCTCTAGGAACACTGAGTGAGCACCTTGAGAGGCGTCTACCTTGCTGAGAGTACCAAACTTGAAGTACCACTTCTCAAGCTTGGGCCAGGCATCCAGGTAACGAGTGATTCTAAACAGAAAATAAAACACTTAAAAGTGTCTAGCACAAGAGGCTAAATGACCACGTATATGTATTGCTCATCTGGTATTAATCTAACTTTAAAAGTGGACCAAGGTAAACATATTTAAATACAAGAGGCCCATGGGCCTTAACGGTCACCTGATATATTTATACAGAGAGTTGATTTCTTTTTTAACATGAACAGAAATATTTTTCAAAGTGACAAAAAACAATAAAACCACCTTATTCAATATCAAGCATACAGATTTCAGACTAAAAAGGATTTGAAACTAGCACCTCTGATTCTAAACAAGGAAAATGAAGAAATTTTAGCACACTGACTCCCTTGAGCCCCACCCTACAGCCCTTGGGGGTAGGGCTGGCTCAAAATTTTCAAAGTATCAAACTGTCAACTCAAGGTTATAATTCCAATCAAGTTATTAACATGTAATATTCAAAGTATCATTTGCCATNAAGATTTTTGAAATTTCAGTCAATTCAACCCTTTTTGGCCCCACCCATCAGCCCCTGAGGGTCAGTCAGAGATGGTATGTGCTTATTATCAAACTGCTACCAAATACTGATAATGCTAACCCAAATTGAATTACTTCCAATGGAAATTAAACAAATGTTGGTCCAAAATGTGATTTCCCTATATAAACTATAGTAAAGTTTACCCCCTCCCCAGGGGGAAACGTGAGACCCCAGGGTCAAGAAATTCACAATTT